CCTAACAAGATTAATATGCAAGCATCAAAACTTAAGGAAATCACCAACACTTTGACCTTTCATCAAGAACACTCAAAGTTCTAATGCTCGACACATAACCTCTTGGATTCAATCATTACCACTATAACTTTCAGAAACGCCACCAATCGTAAACTCTTAATACATTCGATAAGTCAATTTCTTACCCACATCCAAGCTTCCACTAGTTATAGTTGGTTAGCAAGATACTTCGTCTACTACCACTACTTGCACCTATGCTCGCAACACGAGCGATGCCATTTGTACCGTCTAGGTAAAAACCCGACTAGTATATTGTCTAGGAAAAAACCCGACTAGTGTACCGTCTAGGTAAAATCACGACTAGACTCTCTACTCGTCTAATACCCGACTGGACCGTCACAGGGTGTGGCAACTCGGCTCTAACCCCAGTTACATGCACCCGCGAGGGGATTCGCCGTTTTCCCGACAGGTCCCCTTGTAAGGGCATTCTCGGTAAAATACCGACTTGACTAACAACCACTCACCCCCATGGCTTCAGGATAAGAGTGGTTAAGGAGAATCCCGATAATCTCGGGGCCCACGAAGCCCATGAATAGAAAAGTATAAAACCCCAAACCCTAGTGCTAAGAAGGCAGATTACACTTTTGAATGCTCTGGCTCGGAGGCTTGATCTAGGAAAAAACCCTAGTCCACTCTTTGGCCGGAACAGATTTCAAGCTACAACTTTTTTCCTTGGCTTTGAAGTGTCTGGCCATTCCCTACCGAGACCTCATACCCTCTGAACCCATCAAACTCTAACCCCAATTGCTGAACCACCCTTTCAGAGATGAAATTACTCATGGCTCAGCATCTATTAGAATCATCACTGCCCCCCACCCCTAATCCTTGATTGTGTTATTTTTCTTACACCAAAAATCCTTGATTGTTATTTTGACACAGCAGGCAGCATAGTTTGTTAGGTAAATAAGGTTGTAAACAACAGTAGTAGTGTCTTTCCTTGAGCAAGATGGCATATAATGACATTCAACTTCATGGATTCATGAAGTTTGTTCTGTTCATATGTCATACTCTTTGTTTCTTGCCAAGTTGTGACAAGTATCAACTTTGTATATTCTCTTTGTTAACCCTAATTTGGCATAGGCTTGCTTTTGCTTAGATTACAGCAGATGCTTGAGCTTTTATCAATTTATTTATCAAACAAATCTTTTTAGTTGTGTGATGTCTCCTGATTTCCTTGTATTTGTTATAGCATTTGTTAAATCATATGACAATTGTGTATAAGTGACTCAAATTCAATTAATATGATTGTCAGCAATATGCTTTTACTTCTGTTTTTATGGTTTCAGCTGTCATATTGCTTCTGATTTAGTTAAATCTTTCTTTTTCCTTACAGACTTCTTGATATCCGCTGCTGTTTCCGAATTCAAAGGTCCAGTTATTTTTGGTGTTGTTCGCTTGGCTCAAGTAAATATGGAACTTGCTAGGATTGAAGCCAACTTTAGTGGCCTGTCGCCAGGAAAGCATGGTTGGTCTATTAATGAGTTTGGAGATCTGACTAGAGGTGCAGCAAGCACTGGTAAAATGTTCAATCCGACAAATGATGAAAACACTAAAGAGGTTTGCCTTTCCACATACTTTTTGGGGCTTCTGTTTTCCTGACATGGTGTAAACATGTTTTTTTTAAGGATTAATGACTCGTGTGTGTGTGTATATATATATATATATATATTTTTTTTTTTTTCTTTATACAAAACACTAAAACAGTTAGGTTAGTAAATTTATGATTTAGAATCAGAAATTGTATGGATGCATCACGATGTCGACAGAAGTTCACAGGATATTTCTGTTGATTGAGGCTGACTGTTTTCCTCTAAAATGTGATGTTTGATATGCTATTAGTGAAATTTCATTTCATTCTTCTACCAATTGATGTATGCAAACTCTGCCCCTACTTGTTGTCTTGATGCATGGCCATTCCTCATTCATTTAATTGTATTTTGTGTCCTGGTCTATTTGTTCTCTTTACCTTTTTTTGTTGAGTTCTGTTGTTCTCTTACTGATATAGTGATGGTAATTTTTTGAAATCCAAAGTACGTTGAGTCAAATAATTCGATTCAGAAATGAAATTTTCTGATTGGAAGTTAGAAAATAGGAACTGATATGATATATGATATATATATATATATAAATTTTCATTAATGTTAAAATAAAAACTTATTCATATTTTGTTGGATTTGAGAGCATCTTAGTTTTGAATGGTTGAATTTGGCATTTTGAAGGTAGTTAATTCGTTTAACCTATCCTAAACAACGGTGATAAAATTAGTATTATGAAGTTAATAAAATTCTCTCTTTTTAAGTGTTACAAACATAAATTTTGATTCTAAGAATCAATTCAAATTCTATTTGTCATAATGAGTTGGAAACATGGAAATTAAATAAAATTATTTTCAATTTTTCAATGATTTCAAACCCATCTTAACGAGGCCTGCTTGATTGGATGTTCAGCCACTTGGCGACCTGGGAACACTAGATGCTAATGAAAAGGGTGAGGCCTTCTTCACTGGGGTCAAAGAAAAGCTGAGGGTGGCTGATCTTATTGGACGATCTGTGGTGGTATATGCAACTGAAGATAAATCAGAACATGGTGTAGCTGCTGCAGTAATAGCCAGAAGTGCAGGAGTTGGTGAGAACTATAAAAGACTCTGCACATGTGATGGCACCACCATATGGGAGGCCAGCGATAGCGATTTTGTTACTAGCAAGGTCTGATGACGTAATTTCCCCGAAAACAAACCCTTGTAATTTACCTCTCTTGTCGCCCAACTGCATTTCCATATTTTCAGGATTCTGTACCCTTTTGGGAAAATTATTCATCTGTCTTTAGTTTACATTGAATTTCTTCACATAAATTATCAACTTATTTTTTGGATAAGATGGTTAATTTGAGAAATCTCTTGATTCTTAATTAGGCGTAAATTATCACGTTATTTGAGGTATTATAATCATCGGTTGACATCTATAAAAATGATTATGAGACATGATATGTTAAATAATAGATTAGTGCTTGATTCAAAATGAACCTTCCCCCCATCTAATTGAGTGTATAATAGCCAATTAATAGTCAAAATAATGTTGATAAAAAATGATTTAGAGTTTTGCTGAAGGTTATTGATAATAAAATCATTTTATTTCATAGACGGTTGATAAAATCCTGCTAAACGTCAATTTGACGGTAGATAAAATCCTGTTCAAAAAATGTCTGCCACCGTTTGACAAATCTTCCAAATAATATATCTATTTGTGAAATGCTGATATATCAAATAATACACTTATCTCACCATTCAAGTTTTCACAAATACACATAAGTAGAATGAGATTACTTGTACAACAAATTATCAACAAAAGAAACATGAGAATTATAAAAAAAAAAAATCCAGAAAAGTTAATATACACATCAATCAATGCATAATAAAATAAAATGTTGTTGTAATATATCAAATTTAGTGCAATAGAAATGTGGACAAAGATATGGTGTTTGTGTGTTCACCAGTTATTGATTAAAGTAAGATTCTGATTAAATAAAAGATAAAAATATTTTTGAGAGTTTTTTTTATTGAACATAAAAAGTATTTTTGAGTAAAGAAATTTTAAAAAAATGTTTCTAAACTTTTATTCAAACAGATTCTAATTAAAAAAGTAAGGAGCACTTTACTTTTTAAAAAAACTAATTATAACTAAGAGTAAACATACTAACATTGATCGGTATAAATGACAGTGATTTATCTTTCTTAACTAAAAAATTTAGAATTTGAATCCTAACCTAGTTAAACTATGTCGGAAGAAAAATATTTAATTTTAGCAAAAATTAGAATATCATGATTACTAAAGAGTGGACATGGTTTAAATTTTAAAAATATCACACCAAACCAAACAATAAAATTGGTTCAGATTTTAAAAACAAAATCATACCTTTTTAAGAAAATCGTTTTGAATTTTATCCGAACCTGTTTAAAATTAGTTTTAGGTCCATAATTGGTTTTGAAAGTTTTAAAACCAAATTTTCTTTTAAAACCTGTTTTTCCAAAAACAATGTTTTAAAGATTGGTTTCAAAATTAAAAACATCATAAATACGTTGTGTATTAGATTTTATTTTATTTTTTATAAAATCCATTTAACACATTGTAATACTCTATTTTTAAACAGATCAATGATTGAGTTTTAAGCATCTAACTTCGTACTATAATTATTGGTCGTCTTGCACGACTTAAAAAACAAAGACAAATTTTCAAGTCAATTTCGCTCTATCAAAATAAACAAATGAAGAGGGAAACAACATTTTTTCCATTAACTAATCCAGTAAATCACTTGTACAGATCAGTTTTAAAATAAGTAGATTTTGGACTTCCTACTTGCACTGTTGCACACATCACATGTTTTGCTTCCTTTATTACTAAACCATTAAATTGCAAAATCAGTTTTAAAATAAGTTCAATTTAAATTATAAAGATATTAAAATTGGTTTTAAATCTCAACATCAGTCATAAAACAAAATTTCACAACTTTTTTCAAACAAAAATTTGAGTCATTTTTAAACCTTTAAATAAAAAGAAATACTCATCTACAATATAGACAATTGTGTGAGAAATATCAGGTTATTACTTATAGAAATAAAATAAATACACTTGTAAATTAATTTTTATCAGTTTTATATTAAAAAGTAAGTTTTATGTTTCCGCAACACTCACTTTTGGATTTCCGCACGGAGAGAGCATAGAATAGGATTATAGCAAGCACCTATCTTTCACCACCAGCAAATCCTTCCATACCCGACATTGGATTGCTTTGATAACAAACAGTTCGGTGTAGTTTTATTTATAAACGGTTTGTTTGTTAATGGTGTGGTGCAGTCTAGTTTATAGTTTTTTAACAGGCGCAGACACCAACCACTAACCCAAACGAAATATAAATGTATTATTGGAACGACCACTTGATTGTTTTCCCTCCCACTAGAGTTGATTCCACGAAATTTCCAAAGTGAGAACAGGACATTGACTATAAAATAAAGTACCACGAGTGAATTCCGTCAGAGACTTGCAACTTTAGCAAAATTCCGATAATATATTATTTGTGGGTTAGTTGTTGACTTCCTATGTATGTGTTGTGCATCTCCTCTTCTTGTTAATCTTATCACTTGATGAAATCATTGCATTGCCTTTTCTGAATCACGCACCATCTCTTGCATTTAGTATTTTCCTTTTGTGAGTTAGAACCTGAAAGATGGCTGAGGCTATACTTAAAGGTGTGCTTGGAAGTTTGAGCTCTCTCATTGAAGAAGATCTGGGATTATTTAGAGGTTTTGATCAAGACTTGAAAAGGCTTGCCAGCTTACTCACTACTATCATGGCTACACTTGAAGATGCTGAGGAGAAACAATTTTCAAACAGATCTATAAAGGATTGGTTGCAAAAGCTAAAAGATGCAGCTCACGAGCTCGATGACATCATGGATGAATATGCCTATGAAGAATTGGGGAAGGAATACGAAGGAGTCAAGTGTTGTCTATCGGAAATGGTACAAAGCTCTTTCTTATCCTCTTTGCATCCCATGCATGTTTTTTTCCGTTACAAAATTGCTAAGAGAATGAAAATGGTAAGTGAGAGATTAGATGAAATTGCCGAAGAAAGGAGGAAGTTTCATTTGATTGAGACGGTTCCGGAGAGAAGAAGTGATGTCATTGAGTGGCGCCAAACTAGCTCATTTATCACTGAACCACAAATCTATGGGAGAGAAGAAGATAGGGATAAAATTGTAGACTTTTTGGTTCATGTTGCTTCTCATTCTAAAGATTTATCGATTTGTCCGATTGTTGGCCTAGGCGGACTTGGAAAAACAACATTGGCCCAACTCATTTACAATCATGAGAGGACAATCAACCACTTTGAGCTAAGAATTTGGGTATGTGTTTCGGAGGAGTTCAGTTTGAAGAGAATGACAAAAGCTATCATTGAAGCAGTATCTGGGCGTGCTTGTGAGGATTTGGATCTAGACCCACTACAAAGAAGACTTCAAGTTTTGCTTCAAAGAAAAAGATATTTGCTTGTTTTGGATGATGTGTGGAATGAAGAACAAGAACGTTGGCAAAGGTTGAAATCTATATTGGCTTGTGGGGCTAAAGGTGCTTCCATTTTAGTTACTACTCGTCTTCCAAAGGTTGCAGCAATCATGGGAACAATGTCTCCTCATGAATTATCATTGTTATCTAACAACGATTGTTGGGCATTATTTAAACACCATGCCTTTGGACCAAATGAGGTAGAACAGATGGACCTTATGGTCATAGGGAAGGAGATAGCAAAGAAGTGTGGGGGAGTTCCTCTTGCTGCAAAAGCATTAGGAGGACTTTTACGCTTCAAAAGAAAGGAAAAAGAGTGGCTCAATGTTAAGGAAAGCAACATGTGGAGTTTACCAGATAATGAAAACTCTGCAATGCCTGCCTTGAGGTTAAGTTACTTGAACTTACCAATAAAACTCAGACAATGTTTTGCTTATTGTGCAATATTTCCCAAAGATAAAACAATAAGAAAGAAGTATTTAATTGAACTTTGGATGGCTAATGGATTCATTTCATCTAATGAAATATTAGATGCTGAAGATGTTGGTGATGGCATGTGGAATGAATTATATTGGAGATCATTCTTTCAAGATATTGAGACAAATGAATTTGGTGAAGTTATAAGTTTCAAGATGCATGATCTTGTTCACGATCTTGCACAATTTGTTGCAGAGGAGGTTTGTTGCATTACAAATGACAATGATGTAACCACTACTTTGTCTGAAAAAATCCACCATCTCTCAAATTATGACTTGATGTTGTCTAATTCAATCCAATTACGTCAAATAAAATCTTTAAGGACCTATATACAAGAATATAATTTGGACCAACTTTCTCCTCTTTTGTTAAAATGTTATTCTTTACGGGTGCTTGAGTTGGGAGGAAGAAACCCATTGTCATCTTCAATTGGTCATTTGAAACATTTAAGGTACTTGAGTCTTTGTTTTTCATACTTCACAAGTCTTCCAGAATCGCTATGTAATTTGTGGAATATACAAATATTGAAATTAGACTATTGTCAACGTCTGCAACAGTTGCCTAACAGATTAATACACCTAAAAGCTCTACTACAACTATCTTTGAGAGGTTGTGTCAATCTATCAAGTTTGCCTTCTCAAATAGGGAGGCTGACTTCCCTAAAGAATTTAAGCACGTACATTGTTGGCAAGGAAAGAGGGTTACTTTTGGAAGAATTAGGACAACTAAAACTTAGAGGAAATCTTCACATCAAGCATATGGGAAGAGTAAAGAGTGTGATTGATGCCAAAAAAGCCAATATGTCAAGTAAGCAATTGAACCGATTGTTCTTATCATGGGACAGAAATGAAGAGTCTGAACTACAGGAAAATGTTGTGCAAATTCTTGAAGTGCTTCAACCTGATGCCCAACAACTCAAGTCTCTAGGAGTGGGAGGATATAAAGGTTTCTATTTCCCACAATGGATGTCTAGTCCTTCTCTCAAATGTTTAACTTATTTAAAATTGGTGGATTGCAATTGTTTAGAGCTTCCATCATTGGGGAAACTACCTTCTCTAAAGAATCTTATGATATCTAACATGATTCATGTAATATACTTACACGAGGATTCTTATGATGGTGGAGTAGTTTTCATGGCACTAGAAGTTCTATCACTTGAGAAGCTGCCAAATCTAACAAACTTATTAAGGGAGTACAGGGAAAACATGTTCCCATGTCTCGCCATGCTTAAAATTACCAAATGTCCTAAATTGTTGGGTTTGCCGCGCCTTTCATCTATCAATAATCTACATATAAAAGGGAATTGCAATCAAGATTTACTAAGTTCGATTCAGAAACTCAATAGTCTTGAATCCCTTTGGCTCGAAGATAATGAAGAGTTAACATGTTTTCCAGATGGGATGCTATACAACCTTACTTCTCTAAAGAAGCTACGTTTTGATGAGCTCCCCAATCTTGAGGTACTCCAAAATGAGATTATTAACCTTAATGTCATCCAAGAACTCGATATCTTGTATTGTGATAACCTCAATTCTGTGGTAGATGACATATTGCAACAAGTATCACACTCTCTCAAGAAATTATCAATTGCAGGATGTTCTAAGTTCAATATATCGTCAAGTTTTCAATACTTAACTTGTCTTGAGAAATTGTTGATTAGCACATGCATAGAGGTGGAAGGTTTACATGAGGCTTTACAACATATGACTGGCCTTCAATCATTAGAATTACGTAATCTTCCAAATCTAGAATCCTTACCTGACTGCTTTGGTAACCTTGCCTTGCTTCACGAATTAACTATTTGTTATTGCTCCAAGTTGATGTGTCTTCCAACAAGTCTAAGGCTAAGTAGTCTGGAAAGATTAACAATTTATGGTTGTCCTGAATTAGAGAAGCGATGTCAAAAAGAAACAGGAGAGGACTGGCCAAAAATAGCTCACATTCCCTATACTAATTTCGATGAAGGTATGTTTTATTCTATACATAATGTTCTACTTCCAAGTGGTAGTTTTAATATATTTTTTTTGCAAACCATATCAACGTGTATATCCAGCTTAGTTAGTGTTATAAGAGATTATAGAATTTTAAAGATTGAAATAATAAAATTTTTTATTTTCACCAAATTTTAGTTTTAGGATTTTAAACATTCAAACCAAGTTTAAGATTTTTTTTTTTGTCATCTCCTAAGTCCTAACATATAGGAATAGTTTAAATTGTTCAGGTAATCAAAAACTTAAACAATTGATAATTCAAAATACTTTTTTCCTATAATTGGACTTCTTCTATTAGAAAAAGAAAGTATATAGCATCTATTGACATGGTTTTATTTTCCCCTCGTACTAGATTTTCGATGGTGAAGGGAGACGGATTTGGGGATACTTTTATTCTTATGCGGATTTTAGATTTTCATCTTGTTGTACTGCATAATGTGTTTTATTCTGAAACTAATAAAAGTTATACTCTTCCTTGTGTTTAGAGGTCTATCTGAAGATTCCCACAGATCGTCTTTAAAGATTCCGGTGCTTCTTCTTCTTTGGTTAAGTTCACAATGAAGTCTAGACTATAAGCTTTGTCAAACTTGTAGCATCTTCATATATTTTTATTTTTCCTCCTTTGTTTATTTTATTTGACCTCCCACAATATTTTTATCAATGTATTAAAAAAAAGTGGAATTGCATTTTTTGCTTCTTTATTTGATTTTTCCTGTCTTATCAATGCATTCAAAATTGTGTATTAAAGTTTGTTAACAACTTAAAGAGGAAATCAGAGGAAAGTTCCAGAAGAACAACATTTTCATTGCAACCATACGCTTTTAGAATTTTTTGACTCCTCAGCATCATAAAATTTATTATATAAATATTTTTCAATTAGTTTCTCCCTCAATTTCAAGCTCTCTTGCAGAAACTAGACATTGGTAAAGGAGATCTTTCTACAGTAAGCCTCACAAATCAAGAAATCTGAAAGTACTTATATTTTTATGAATTTAATAGATATACTATGAATGTAAAAAAAATTATACAATCAATTAAATAGAAATAAAGACTTAAGATTTTTAAGATAATTAATATAAAAATCAATGAAATTATTATTTATGTAAATTATGATTAGATGATAATATAATAGTTGTGTATCACCATAATATCCTTATTTTATTACATATAAAAACACGTTTTGAACATACGTAAGTTAGAAATCGAGCTTAATAATACATTCCAAATCTGAATGTAACATCGACCAAAACTGTATTTAACAAGTTATCATGTTTATTTTTAAGCCAGTTTTTTTTATAATTTATTTTTGAGAAACAGCACAGAAATTTTTGTTCATTATTTTTTGTTCTATTTTATAAAACAAATTACGTTGATCAACTTTATTTTTTTGATTCAAGTGATTTGTAAATCAAATGATTCAAAACCATCATCACCAACGTGATGTTGCAACAAGAACCATGAAATTGTATTATTGTTTAGAATATAAGAAAATGTCATCAACTTGTATAAGTTTGAATGTCGGCTCATTTTTTTTACTCCTAAACAATAAATTCTTCCTTTTTCATTTTGTGCCATAAAAATTGGGGATTTGTTCCAAAAACAGTCCCAACTTTTATCCAAATAAAGCCGTATTCTTTGGTACAGTAATACTTCGAGCCATGTCAACTACGTATCATATACCATCTTTTGAATAACAATAAACACAAAAGGTGAAAAACAATACTAACTAACATGCCAAGGGATAGTTCCAAGTCCAACAAGTACAAAATGCAATTATGCAACAATACCAATAGTGTATTTTCTTAATAGGTAGAGTATGCAACACGGATAAAAGATTAGACTAATCAAAAACAAAATTTATAAATTTCTAATAGTTTCTCTGGAAGTTTGTTTTGTCTTCGTCTGTGTAGCGCCACCAGCCACAAAGACTACCGAGTTAGGTAGACAAAGGAGGCAATAGCCCTTCTTTCATAGCCATTTCTAAGATTGCAACAGCCACCAGAACCTGGCAATCTGCTGTTGTGCGCCAAAGTTTCATATATGGTACTACACGTACCTTAATTAGCTCCCCATGTTCCCGAAGGCCAGTCTCTTTACCCTGTAGCTGTGTGATTATCTCTTTATCAACACGCCCTCTGTACAGAAAAATACTGATTTCTTCATCACATCCTCCCTTAAAAGAAACAGAAAGGGTGAAAATAAGATATCCATGTGATAAAAGCAACAAGGACGAATTCTGTCCTTGTTGGAATTGTAGTGTTGACTAGTTTCAACAGTTTCTATCTTTCTCAAGTATAACTTTGAAATATTTTAGTAGTCAATTAATTGATATAAAGTTTACTTGGGGCATATCATTTCAACAAATTTATGGCCAATAAAACTATTTTCAGTACGTAGTGGTTAAGGCTCATCTGCAGGGTTTACTAATTACTACTTAGATTGGCCTCAAATGACCAGAAATCGAACTGCATGCTAATTGGTTGCTACATGCAACATCTAAACATAAAACAAAAATGACACGATACTAAAACTACACTCATATTACCATAGCAAATTATTACAAAACTTTGCAAAGCACAAATCATGAAATTTGGGAAAGGAAAAAGGATCAAAAACATACTCCAGAAGGGAAAACTCTGCATCCAGTTGCAGGGTCAAGAAACGCAGTCAGGTCAATCATGTCTTCTACATTTAACTTGATCCCAATCTCTTCTTCAACCTACCAAATTCATAAATACAAGAAGTCATGTGATATAGAATTTAGGTGGGAAAGAGAAAGAAACAGAAAAAACAGAGAAAGACACAAAATGAAAGGGGAAAAGGGAAGAAGAACAGAATAGAGAAGATAGAGAGAAAAAGGAGAGAAACAGAGAGATCAAAGAAACTGTGCAATGCAGTCTACATTCAGTTTGCCTACAATCTGTCTAAAACACAGGCAGAGCTACTCAACAGCCATAAAATCCTAACAAACAGTAGCTGACCAACTAACTAACTAACAATCTTTTCTTATTTATATTTGCATATCATCATATATAGTTTAAGACAGTTACATCACTAGGAAAGACAATTAAAAATGCCAGACATACAAGTGAAAAAGGCCATAAACATTCCCTTTCACTACAGCTAGAGTGAGTGAGAGGTATGTATCAAAAAAAGAAAGAGTGAATGAGAGGTATCTATCAGAAAAGAAAAAAAAAAAAAAAGTGGATGACAGCCAAAGAGAAATTAGACCTCACGAACTGCAGTACCAACAAAATCACCTTTGTCATCGTCCAACATTCCAGCAGGCAATTCTAAAATAATTCTTCCAACAGGAACCCTTGCCTTACAAATAAGAATATTCAACATAAGAATAACCAATAACACAAAAATCCCGTTTTAAATATTATTTCTCAAAAAAAAAAACTGCAAGGCACCAGCATCTACCTGTTCAGTAAGAACAGCATAAGTCTCACCCTCTGATTCCAGGAGTATCAGCACAGCCACAGCTGGTCCTCTTGCAAATACAATGCCTGGAATCTAATCATGGTTTACTTTACTATAAAAGAATAAAATCAGCATTAGGAGCACTAAATGTAGATAATTGAACATGAGATATTTGGTACAAGTTGGCAAGTCCAAGACCTTGATCATCGTGGATTCCTAAGAAGGATGTCTATGTTTGATCCATGGCCATGATATTACCATAGGCATCTCAAACCCCTCGTGTCTTTTCAAACACATGATGTGTGTGCACATATATGAATGATATGATACCTTTCCAAGCATATGGGAATCTCAAATGCCGAGCATATGATTCCCTCTAAGTATTTAAGAATGCCAAGTGTGACTGAAAGGCATCACACATGCCAAAGAATATAAAATATAGTACCAAGCATGGAAATGCCATATAGTTCTGCATCTTATATCCAAGACGATTTGAAATGTAAGGTAGCAACAAATTAAAATCTTACTAAGTTTTTTATTTCATAGGTGAGAAATTCTCCACTCCATAGATATTGTAGCACAACAAAAAGGGAAACCCACATCCCACGTAGTCGGAGATGCTATTTCAAGGATTTGAATCCATAACCTCCAGGTCCATAAGACAACAACCTTACTATTTCTTATAGGCTTTCCCTCAGATATTGCAAAATAAGTAATTAAATACACATTTATTGAGAAGGTTAAGGCAATATGCATACTGGTTCATAGCTCATTGCCATAATTAAAACAGGAAAACATGCTAACATGGACTTATACTGAAAAGCTTTTATGCAAATCATCTCAATACCATTTTCCCTGTTTCCTTGTCAAAAATGTCAGCTTTGAACTTGAGAAACCCAATGCGCTTTCCAAACATGTCTACGCCCTGTTTATATAAAAAAAAGTTCCATCAATTTTTTGTTAATTAATCTGGAAACATAAATAAACCTGGAAGACGAAGTGAATATCCTTTTACTTAAATTCCCAAGTAAGAATTACTTAAATGATCATAAGCAAAGTTGTTTTGGGCACGGTTACCAACCTAAGAACCAGCACAATCAAAACCCTTAAGCCCTAAAGGATCTAACCCATCTACCCAATTAGTGTGAGATACATAGCCTCTTCGATTCATCATCTCTCATAGAGTCACCTTCTAAGAGGAAACAATAACCATCTCCCAGCCTTATTAGGCCAAGGAGAAAGATTTCTAATAGCACACTCCAACTCCTCTATAAAAGCAAAGCTAGCATCCCAAGCAGGGTCACCTGAGCAAATACTTGTCCAGTTGTCCTCACTCCTTGAACCTTTGCATACTTGACTGTTGGAGTGTCCTGGAGGTTCCGTTCCATACACCCCTCTTTCCTCCTCCATTATTTCCACCCATCACCACAATAAAGGAGACCTTCAAAATTCAGCCATCAGAGGCAAGATCATTGCCATTCAACCGTACTCAAAGCCTCAGCTCAGATCACATATGCTTCTTGATAGTCTATAAAAGCTTTCAACCTATATTTTATGAAATAGCTGTCTTCTATGGATTACAGTCTTGGTTAGGCCCTTGAAGGAAACAGTAAACAAAAGTATACATGCTGACAGCATCAAATAAGTTTCTTGCCATGCGTTCTAGACTTTGGGGTATGTAATTCAGAGAAAATTTCTTTCATGAAAAAGTATCATTCTTCAAATTTTTTAGTTCAATAACTTGATTACCTGAATTAGAACTTGTCTCAGAGCCATGGTACCATCAGCTAGAATCCCATTCTCAGTTTGCAAGTTACGCAACCACTGCTTGAACAAAGAGGACTCAACAGCACTCCTGCAAGGAGGGAAACATCAAAAACCAAACCTAAAACGACTAAAGCTACCTAATGTTTGTCATAGAATCAGACACGAGACAAACTAAATGAAAATCACTCGAACAACAATTATTTATACGCAAGTCAATCTTCTTTAACAATTGCTTTCATAGAAACCAATGAAAATCTAGCTCCTAACTGATTAAAACCTTCTAGTTAGTTTCTAATTTGATTCGATTTAAAAACAAAGGACCTGGATCATATTTGATAATATCAATGCTTTTCTCACATATCACTATGAAATCAATTTTTTTCTTATTAAAAGTGACACTTTATGGTTTATAATGTGAATCAACGGTAACATTAAAGGAGAAAATATAATGAGTGACCAGAAATCAGAATGGGAGAGTCCGGGAGCAGCAACGATGAGAACGGGCTCATTCTGTTTATTGGGAAGTGTGATAGAGTGAGTTAAGGGAGTTGAGTCGGTCGACATCTTGCAGCAGAAACCTTTTCTCTTCGAAACCCAATCGGAGGCGTGAAGCGGAGTGAACCTTCTCAGCGCACCACATACAGTGCGAACATTTATGGCCATTGAAGCATATGTTCGAGCGTCAGCAAGAAGATGAACCACTTCCAACAATGCTCTTTTGGGCTTAATGGACAAAGCCCAGTGGGCCTAATAATACCCAACCTCGCGGCACAGTACTCTACAAGATGGCATCTGCATTGGCCCTACCGTATCTGCCTTATTAATTAATTCCTCTCAATGCAAATCAATGATAGAATATACCAAGTGTGTCGCGTAAGAAATGTTTTAATATTTTCAAGATAATGATATGAGAATATTTTTTTATATAAATATTGAATTCGCTTAATATATTAAATTAGAATAACTATTGTTTATGTTTTATTCTTCAGTAATAGTATTTTAGTTATTTTTTTCTTCAATAAAAGCGATTTACTTTGGGGTATGTAATTACTATTTTAAAAATCATTAAAACAGTAATTTTTTACTGATTAACAAAATACGCAGTCATAGTAAAATAGTTAACTTTTTTGATAAATTATTTTTAAGAAAATAGAATAATAACTAAATAATTATAGAAATCCTTATGATGGACTCGATCCCTAGAAAAGTTATTTAATTAGAAATGCTAAATCTCGAGAACAAGATTTTGCGGGAACACATGTGTCATGACATGGAGTCAAACAAAATGACATTGAGAAAGAGTCCTAAAATTTAAAGCAGCAGTCAAAGGTCTTACTTAGCAGTTAGCAGTACCACTACTACTAGTAGTCGAAAATCTCCACCCTAAGCGTGTTATTATACTAATATAAGAAAACAAATAACTTGGGCAAAAGAATATATATTAACAAAAAAAAATAAATCTCAAATAATGAATATTATTGATTAAATTAGAATGATTATGATAATTTGAAATGCAAATGAATACTAAAAATAGTTAGTTTAGTTTAGATAGTTAAAATAGAGATAATAGGGGTTTGGTTGGGGGAGGAAGTGTTATGGTATTTATCCTAATGGAATGTAGAGCATAGTAATAGTATCCGAGTGGACACCGACAGGGAACCTAAACATGTGCAGCGTAGAGTTATAAGGTCTGAAAGGGAGGCATCGAAAGCGTTAAGCGTGGTCCACCCGAACAGGCAAACCCTCTTTTATTATTGTTTCCTCAATCGAACGGCCCCAAATCTGAAATCTGAAATCTGAAATCTGAGTGGAGTGGAGATCTAGCACAGCACAGCACAGCACAGTAGAGCAGTGAGTAGCAGCATGGTGGAGGCGCAGACATGGACGACGCGCCGAATGAGCAATCCGAGGCTGGACAGTCAGAGCGAGCAAGTGGTGGACATCCCAGCCACTCCGCCGGGGGAGCTCCGGAACAGCTTCGGATCCAGCGGCGGAGGCACCCTGACAGCGCTGATAATCGCGTCCTGGTACCTCTCGAACATCGGCGTGCTCCTTCTGAACAAGTATCTGCTGAGCTTCTACGGGTACCGCTTCCCCATCTTCCTCACAATGCTCCACATGCTATCCTGCGCCGCCTACTCCTACGCCGCCATCAACTTCCTGGAGCTGGTCCCCCTCCAGCACATCCACTCCAAGAACCAGTTCCTCAAGATCTTCGCCCTCAGCGCCATCTTCTGCTTCTCCGTCGTCTGCGGCAACACCTCCCTCCGCTACCTCCCCGTCTCCTTCAACCAGGCCATCGGCGCCACCACCCCCTTCTTCACCGCCATCTTCGCCTTCCTCATCACCTGCAAGAAGGAAACCGCCGAGGTCTACCTGGCGCTCTTGCCCGTCGTCTTCGGCATCGTGGTGGCCAGCAACAGCGAGCCCTTGTTTCACCTCTTCGGCTTCCTCGTCTGCGTCGGTTCCACCGCCGGTCGCGCCTTGAAGTCGGTGGTTCAGGGGATTCTCTTGACCTCCGAGGCGGAGAAGCTTCACTCCATGAACCTTCTTCTCTACATGGCTCCCGTGGCGGCTTTGATTTTGTTGCCCTTCTCTCTCTACATTGAAGGGAATGTGCTGGCTTTGACCATTCACAAGGCTAGAGGAGACCCCTTCATTGTTTTTCTTCTGCTCGGGAACGCCACTGTCGCTTACTTGGTCAACCTCACCAATTTCTTGGTCACCAAGCACACCAGTGCCTTGACGTTGCAGGTCTTGGGGAATGCCAAGGCCGCCGTCGCCGCCGTCGTTTCGGTTCTCATTTTCAGGAACCCTGTCACCGTTATGGGCATGGCGGGCTTCGCCGTCACCATCATGGGTGTCGTGCTTTACAGCGAGGCTAAGAAGAGGTCCAAGGTCACCACTCATTGATCAATTCATCGCTTCACACTTCACAACACCACGTTTCTATTTTTTTCTTTTTGCCTTCTCCGGGTATTACTTTCTTTGCTTTTGCATAATTTTAGTTTGATTTAATTATATTTCCGTGGAATTGGGTCGCTTAATTACAGCAATTGGACTGTATAGGGAGGAAAACAAGGAGAAAGGGGTTGGGTTGGGTTGGGTTGGGTTGTGTTGTGTTGGGTTTCTGATTTTCTCTCATGCCCGTTGTGTAAGCTCTATATATGAAATGCTCCATACATAAAACGTTCAAAGAACGAAAACTTATGTGTATTTGACCAGGGAGGAAAATTCTCCCGAGTTCCATTTTCTTAATCACATCATCTTTTTTTTTTTTTTTTTTT